GTAGGTTCTCCCCTACAGACTGTTATCTGTCTAGCCACATGATCTTGGCCCTGATAACAGTACTAGGTATGGGCTCCATCTAATTGAGCAGGTTTTTAGTCAAATCAGAAACTGATTGGTTATTCCTATAACATTTATGCCATTATTGCACAAGTGAGTGTATCTTGCCAGACAGTTGTTATTGTAACTTGCAGGGTTCATAACTGGGAAAATTTGATGATTACTTTTCTCTTCAGGTAGTATGCATAACACCTTCTAGTACTATGAAATCTAGAGATGAAGCTTTGAAATCAGGTCCAATTTGATTTCTCCTTGTTCTAAGACCCATATATGTACTGTATTCAGCATACGGTATTACTGTCAAGTTCTGGAGGGCAACCAAGAGTGATGGCAATAGCCAGTATTGTTGGCAGGTCTATGAGATACCTCTGGTAAACCACTCCAAAAGAAAGAGTCCATTCCTAGCATCAGGCCTTTTTGTTTGTTAGCCTGTGGCATCTGGTAGGGTATTGTCCATATTAATTTCTCAAAAAGTCTTTGGTGTCAGTAATCCCCCCCCCATACCTCCTCCTCTGTCCTGGCCTCCCATTTCCCACCCCATTCCTATATCATTATTCTCCTTCCCCTTTATATCTCTACAGTCTACTTCTCCTCTCAGGAAGTTCCCCCTCCGTGGCCCCATTTCAGTTTCTTGACCACTCCGGGTTTCCAATTGAAACACACATAGTAATGATTCAAAACTAGCACCCACTTAAGAGAGAAAACATATGAATCTTATCTTTCTGGGGCTGGGTTTCCTCATTCAGGATGATTGTTTCTAGTTCCATCCATTTACCTGAAAATTTCACAATTTCATTTTTATTAAGAGCTGAATAATATTCCACTGTGTAAAATACCATGTTTTCCTTATTCATTCATGAGTTGATGGACATCTATTGTTTCCACTTCTTGGCTGTTGTGAATGGAGCAGCAATAAGCACGGATTAGAGTAAATGACCACTTTTTTTCTATATTTCCTTCCATTCATTATCTCCCCAATATCAACATCCTCCGCCAAGTGATATGTTTGTTAGAGCTGAGGAATTGGTCCACACATTACTATACCTTTCATCCATAGTATACATTAGAAAATATTTCTACACATTCTTTGGGTTTGAACAAATATATGTTGACATGTATCCACCATTACAGTATCACACAGATGGGCTTTACAGCTTAAAAAAAAATCCTCTGTGTCCTGCTGTTACATCAAGATATATACTCACAAATAAGGATTTGGTGCTAAGATCCACAAATGGCAGAGAACATATGTCGCTTGTTTTTCGGGGTCTGTGTTACTTCACCCAGTATAACAGTTTCTAGCTCCACCTGCAAATTTCATGATTTCATCTTTCTTTGCCACTAAGTAGAATTCCGTTGTATAAATGTACTTCATTATCATCTATTCATCAGTTGAGGGGCACTTAGGTTGTTTCCATCTCTTAGCTATTATGAAAAGGGCAACAATAAAAAAAATGGATGTACAAGTATCTCTACAGTAGGCTGAGACCTTTGGGTAAATGCCAAGGAGTGGTATAACTGGACCATATGGTAGATTAATTTTTAGTTTTTAAAGAGTTCTCCAGACTGCTTTCTATAGTGGTTGCATGAGTTTGCAATCCCATCAACAGGGAATGAACATTCCCCTTTCTCCACATCCTCACCAGCATTTGGTGTCATTTGTTCTCTTGATATTAGCCAGTCTGACTGAGGTAAGATGAAATTTTAAGGTGGTTTTGATTTGCATTTCTGTAATTACTAAGTGTGTTGAACACTTTTTAATGTGTTTCTTGGACATTTTTATTTCTTCTTTTGAGAACTCTCTGTTCAGATCCATAGCCCATCTTTTAATTGGGTTATTTCTTTTCTTGATTCTTTGTTTTTTTGAGTTATTTGTATATTCTGGATATTATTTCTTTATCAGATGTGTAGCTGGTGAGAATTTTTCTCACACTCTGCGTTTCTGTTGGGAGCTGAATATTCAGGGCTGCCAGGTGCAGGCTGCCTGACGCCCTTTCCCCCCTGACCAGAGAGCAGCTAATGGGATATTGGCAAAGCCTATCCTGGCTCACCCAGGGTCAAGGTTCAAGCAGTTTCGTCCCTGGAGAGCAGCTAAGGGGATATTGGCAAGGCCTGTCCTAGCTGACTGGGGCTGAGCCTGTATAGGTCACTCTCTGATAGTCAGTCTCCAGGAGCATGTCTTTCTCTTAGTAGCTGTGCTTGGGTGCTGTTTATACACTTACACATGATAAATGAAGCTGCTCCTAGGCACATGCCTTTGTCTTAGAAGTTCTGCTTGGCTACTGCTAATGCAAGCATGTGTGATTAATGAAACTGGGATTATTGAAACTGGGTGGTTCAAAGGAACTTGTGGTTTTGTGCTATATTTCTATAGTAGATTTTTTTGCTCTTTTGAGGAATGGTCATCAGCCTGCAGATCTTGATCCCAGCTGTTTCTGCGCCTGCGTCTTTTCTACTTAATCCCCTACCCTTCCTATTCAGGGTTTTAGGAGCCCCCACAGCTGGACTGCAACAGGTTTCCTCTTCACTTCCTTGGTTGCTTCTTTTGCTGAACAGAGCTTTTTAGTTTAATGAGGTCCCACTTGTTGATTGTTGACCTTAATTCCTAAGCAACTGATATCCGATTCAGAAAGTCCTCTCCTATACCTATATCTTATAGGGTACTGCCTATATTTTCTTCTAATAGTTTCAGAGTTTCAGGTTTCACATTGAGGTCTTTGTTCTATCTTGAGTTGACTTTTGTGCAAGGGCAAAGATAAGGGTCTAATTTCATTCATCTACAGTTGGAGATCCAGTTTTGCCAACACCATTTGTTGAAGATGTTATCTTTCCTCCAATATGTGCCAAGGAATGGACTAACGAGCTCATATGGTAGAAAGGAACAATGGAGAAAAGGAAAGAGCCCAAGAGAAGGGGAGAATAGGAAACAGATGTTACCAAGGGGAAATGGGGAACTGGGGTATTGAACTGGGAAGGGAGGAGGGAAGGCTATACAAGGAACCATGAGGGTAAAGGGGAAGAAGGAGCTCAAGAAAAGGAGGATCAAAGGAGTCAGGTATTACCAAGGGGAAATGGGAGAAATGGGAGTACTTTAATGAGGAAGGAAGAGAGAGGTTACATAGGGAGAGAGAAGAAGTAAATAAAGTTTAAGTGGTATGAAAAAACAGAGGGAAAAGTATTAGCTCAAAAACCTACTGACAAATACACATACAATATCTGAACATGAGTGCATGTGTGTACTTGAAAGTTATATAACAAGAACACGGTGCCAGACAGGAGAAACCTCCCTTCGAGTTGTTGGTCAGAGTAGTCCAAGAGACTCCCAAAATACCACAGGCTATTGCCACAGCCCTTGATTGCCTCCCAGAACTTGAAGGTAAGACCCTGTTGCTGAAGACAGGACATAATTCGAACACAGGACTAGGAGCAATGGAATTGGAACTGACCTGGTGTTTATTTTTAATTACTGTTATTTATCCGATGTGCTCCCTGAGGGGAAGCATCAAGAGCAGACCTTGGGCTTCAACATATTCCTCGGCTGCCCAACCTCTCTATACCTGACAGGGGTCTCCCTGCACACCCACTTCTTTATAAAATATCCATCCACAAGCTGCTGAAACGGACTCACTGTCATATCCACTCCCTGCTCAAACACCCTCCAGTGCTCCTGTCTGAGAACAGGCAAGCAAATTCTACCTCATGGTCTTTGCACTGGCTCTGGGGCTCTGGTTCTCTGGTTTGGAAAGAACCCCTTATTCTTTTAGGTCCCCAAAAGATATTCTGACAAGTGTTGGGTGGCACCTCTCACGCCTTATATCTCCCTTTCAAAGCAGCAACTATAATTTCCTGATCTTAATAATTGATCACCTCCTACCCGTGCAGCACACCACACCCTGAAGCTTGGTTTTGAAGCACAGCAGCGTCCAGCACAGGTAGGTGTGAAGTAGGGGGCCCAGGGCCAGGCTAAATGGACATCTGCCTTAACTATTACAAATATCCAGAGACTCTAAAGAGTTACTGTATACATACTAAAGAATGAAAGCTACTTCTTTAAAAATTATTCCTATATGTTGAAATAACATTAGATATGGTAAAATAAATAAAAGATGGTATTGAAAATATTCCACCTATTTCTTTATTGTTTATTGTCTACTGTTAAAAGAACACATGGGTACTTGTCATTTCTTCCATGCAGCATGCTGCAGTGGTCTATCCAGAGTCCCTCATCAGGCTGTTTCCAGATGGTCTAGTCGAGAAAGAAACCCTCAGAAAGCTTCGTGTGCTGAACGTAACGACTGGTGCTAATGAGTGCTGAAATTAGAACATCTGCTATTTCCCAGGTAAAGGTTATTTCACAAGGTTTGGCAAAGAAGTTTCCCAGGAAATGACAGGAGTCAATAAACGAGTGTTCCAGGAGCCCATCCCTTCGGGGAGAAGGGAGGGATTCCAGGTACCTCTACCCTTCTAGCAAACCAAGAGTTAAAAGTTTCAGGGGCAGTAAGAGCTCAGTTTTTTACAGGTTTTTCCAGGTACAGAAAGATATAACATGTTTTGGAAACCAGAAAGACCAAATGTAGGAGAGCAAAGAATGGGAGGGACAGGATCTGCAAACAAGGTAGAGTGAACAGAATGGAGTCGTGACAGGTGAGAAAGGAGGGGAGACGCAGAGGGGCCGAAAGGGGGGAAGATGCCCCTAGAGATGAGCTGAAAGGGACAGAGTCAGATCTGGCGGCCAGGAGGGCCGGAGTGCGGACAGGAGGAAGCATGGAGGGGAGGGACAGGAAAAGAAAGGCCAAGGCATAGGCAGGGCCTGGCAAGGAGCCCACACAGGATGTAAGAGCAGGACAAAAGGGCAGCAGCTTTTCAGGCTGTACTCACAAATCCAGGGTCCCAGCAGCATCAGTTCCTAGCCTGGTTCCAGCACCATCTCTAAGAACGCCATGGCCTACCGGTTCCATTCTCCCCTGCTCCTGATGGCCTCCCTAGCCCTGACTCTGAACTTGAACCTGGGCCCAGTGGTGGCTGACATCGACCCCTCTGAAGACCTGCCATTGGCGGGCGGCCTGAGGGAAGCCAATATCCAACAGAAGGATGTGAAGGAGGCATTGGACTTCGCTATCAGCGAGTACAATGGGAGGAAAAATGACTTGTACCTGAGCAAAGTGGTGGAAGTTGTGCAGGCCCAAGAGCAGGTGCGTTTCCCTTGGCTTTAGGGAGAGTGTCACTTGGAGGGCCATACCTGCATTCTTAGTCCAGCCTTCACTCCTTGCATTTCCCAACCAGTGACCTGAGGTACTGCTAACGGCACAGGACACTCTTGGCCCTCACTAAACCTTGTCCTTAGGGGTTTTCTGTCCCCTGGCAACTCTGTGTGAGTTTTTACCCATGATGGTATTTTCTCTACTCAAATCATTTCCAGTTGGGGGCTTGGCCTGGAACCTGAAAGCGTGCTGCAAGTAGGTGCATACCTGTTCCTTACTTCTGTCTCCCAGCCCCAGCCAGATAGAGGCTGGGTCCTTCAACATGGACTGGTCACTCTACCATGGACTGTGGAGTACAACAGTGGTCATCTAAGATGATTATAGCCCATTAATGTTCTATCTATCTTAGTTTTTAAATGTGCTTTATGATGTGCCATAGTGAAATCACTAGGGACACATTTCTTAGAACTCCTCATAGTTCAGGATACAGGACTACACAAGGCTGGTGCTTAGTCTGGTTTTTTAGGGGTTTTGTTTTTTGGTTTTTGGTTTTTGGTTGTTTGGTTGTTTCTTTGATGGTTCCTCAAAGTTGGATGCAGGTTACCAGCTCTGTCTCCTCATGAGTCTTCTTAGAAAGTACCATTTAGCTGCTCTAAAAAGCCTTGCTTGCTTTGGCATGGTAGGCCCGGTATATCTCTGGAAGCAGCCTCAAGGGACTGGTGTCACCACTCTGAGACATTAAACCTTGGATAAAAGTCTGGGCACTCAGTGTCCACTTGGTAGAGAGTACCACCCTGGACTCTGCTTAGCCTCAGCAGTGTGGAATCAGCCCTCAACAGATAAAGTAGATCATTGCCAGGAGAAGGGGCTAATAGCCAATATCAAGGACTACTAGGCTCCAGGATAAAGCTTGAAGAAAGGTTAGGATTGAGACTAGCAGATCTTCATCCCAGTACAGGAGCTCTCGTGACCTAATCATCTCTGGAAACCAATCAGTGGGTATGTGTGATGGCTTTTACAGAGCTGATTGGGTCAGAAGGAATCTGACACAAACATAATATAATTATCAAGGGGTAAGGAGAGGTCAGTGTTGGGCCCTAGTTAGAGAAATAGGTCAGTGGGAACCTGTGCTTGAGGCGATACCTTGCCCTGGTCCCTTGTGGTACATACTTCTCTATGCTTCCTGTCTATCCTGATGTGAGCATCTCTGCTTTCCCACACCCACCTTCCCTGCCACGATGGACTGACACCTCTGAAACTCACCAATATAAAGAATTTTCATGCATAAAATGCTTCAATCAGTGATGAGAAAACTATTACAGAATTTTAGAGCACCATTCATCGTTGGATAGGTAAGTCTCATTTTACACATGGGAGACTTGATACCAGATGACTCATGAGCCTCATTCTTGGTACCCTAGGGAAAGATCTAGAAGCCCTGTCCCCTGGTCTCTCACCATATGCGTCACAGTTCTAACAAGTTGGGTGTATGATTCCCTGTGTCAGAAAGAGTTTGATTCTATTCTTTAATTAAAAATGTTAGACAGACAGATGAGTGACATAACTGAAGGCTGGTCCTATAAACAGTCACACTGAAGGGAGAGGCAGTAGAACTCTATCTTTGTTTGGGGTTGTGAAGCGACCCATATCCTCCTATCTAGTGAGAGAAGGCATCTGGTAAATGGAAGTAATGCTTCTCTGTGGGTTTTATGAATAGAATTCAACTGAAGGTCAGTCATCATCCTGCAGACTTTATAGAGTGGATCAGTGCCTCTTCCTCCTGAGCTGCAATCAACAGGCTTGAACTAGTCCTGTGCTGCAGCCCAGAGACTTCACAAGTTCAGACTAGCCCAGTACTCCTGAACAGAAATGTTTATTGCCTCCATTCTGGCTGGCTCCCCAGAGCTGGCTTCTCTCCCTGAGTCTATTGATGCTCTCTGACTTCTCTATTCTACCTTGCTTACTTGACAGCACAAGACTCTTTGTCAGAGTTGCTTAGAAGGGAACAAGTTTTAAACAGGACCTGTGACCACCCCTTTTGAAAAGGAGTTTTATGTATGCTGTGGGTGATATTTCTGGTGGCTTATGAATGTGGACATGCATGACTCCCAGTTGAACATACTAATTGCAATGTAAAATAACTGCATGCATGTGAACTTCACTCGAGTGTGTTAAGTGAAGCCTGCTTTTCTCTCTGTAGCTTGTGGCTGGAATTAACTACTACTTTGATGTGGTGCTAAGCCAAACCACATGTCTGAAGACTCAGTCTGATTTGACCAACTGTCCCATCAATGAGCAGCAAGAGGTATGCACACTGCGTAGGATAGGCACCTGTCAGCCAAAGGCATATGCAAGTTTGTGAATTTGCACATGTGCATCTAGGAGCAAGCTCAGGAAAATGTGTGCAGTTGTGGGAGCAAGTGAGGAAAAGGTTGTGCAAGTGTATATATGCATGTGTGCGTGAGAGAGTGTGTGAGTCTGCATTTGGGCAAATTTGGAAAGGCACATATGTGACATATGGCCATCTGAGGAGGTGAATAATTGTGTACATGTGTGAGGGAAGAGTGGTTATTTACGAATAGATGTGCATGGGTGAGGAGTATATGTGAGTATATGCAGCCCTGGGGGACAGTGTATGTGCACAGATGATTACTTTGAATTGTTCGGTAGGTTTAACTGAGAAATGGAGTACTCAGAGATTAACTCTGAGTGCTAATAGGGGTATTGCCTGCTGGACTGGAAGAGGCAGCTTCGGGATTGCTGTCTGGAGAGAATAAAACCTTTCAATCCCAACCTGGGCCCCCTGTTCAGTACACGGTGAAATGACTTGAGCCTTCCAGTGCTTCCCCTTGCTTCAAATGCTAGCCTTTCCCAGGACAGGGCTATTCTTGAGATGCCATGGCTCTCAGGAGAACTGCAAGTAATTCCTTGGTGCTCTTTTCCCTTCCAGGGATGTGCCCCATGCCCCTGAGTCTTCCCTCTGTGCCTGTCTTTGTACTGTCCCAGGTATGGGAGGTGGGGGGACTTGAGATCCTGCATCCACTTCACTGCCATGACCACTGAGGGTCCTGCATTTGCACAAGCTGCTCCATATAAAGCTGTGCTGTGACAGAAAGATGAGACATGTTGTGATCCTAGAACGGATACAGAAGCCATCTGGTGGACTGGCAACAGTGATCAGGATATAAGCAGACACTGCAGAATCAGACTCTGTCCTAGAACTTGGCAGAGTCTTTGGATACGTGTCTCACCTGCATCAGTTCCACACTGACATATTAGGCCAGGAAACTTCCTTTTATCTGTAACCCACACTGATTAATCTTCTCTCTTTGCTTTTGCAGAGGGAGTTTTGCTCCTTCCGCATCTATTTTGTGCACTGGTTGAACCAGAAGACCCTGACAAGCTCCAACTGTCACAGTGTCTGAGGGTTCTCCCACGCTGTGCTGTGCTAACTGGTCTTTGCTTGTACATCCTCTTCTATAGCATCTCATCACTCAAATGGCTGCCCCTGCTCTGGGGGATGTATCTGTTTGCTAGAACCAGGAATCCAGTACAGAAGGCTGCCGAGAGTGGTTTCTCACATTTGAGACCCTGTCTCATGTTCCTTACTTCTTGCTTTTGAAATGCACTAGTGCATTGCCCACATACACTGTTTACTCCTTGCTCAATAAAAGAGTTTCACTGGCTTCTTCTGAGTTGTTACTGTCTCCTGATGTGTGAGGAGGTGGAATGGAAAAGATGGGAGCTGAGAAATAACATCCACATTTGCAGAGATGGGGGTAAGCCCTGTTGACTTTTGTGTTAGCTGGGAGATAAAGAGTAGAGAGGGGCTGGGAACTCGTTGTGCAGCTGCAGAGGCTCCCAGGGAGGGTCCCTTCAGGGTCAGCAGGGGCCTCAGCTGCTGCTCTGGAACTTTGGCTGCTTGGAAAGGAATTCGACATTGGGATGGGGAGATGATGGCATTGCTGGCTAGGGGGAATCACTCACTCACTTATGCACAAGTGACCTAATGGGCATAACCACCATACTCCGAAGATCCCCAGGGGCTCCATATGTGATGATTCTTGGAGTCCTGTCCCCTTCTGGCCAGGAAAGGTTTAGGCACATGAGTGAAATACAGAGTGAAAATGTGTTCGTGTAACTGATAAGAAAAATACCTACCAGAATCTAAGAGAGGGTGACAACCCAGAGCCAGGCAATACTCACCTGGACATCCTGGGCTGCAGTGACCAGACAGATGCTTCCAGCCCTTCTTTGCTTTGATATAACACAAATCCTGTGTGAAGCTTCATGGAGAGATGCAACATTTTAACCTGAATGGACTAATGTAAAGCCCATTTTCTTTTATTTCCAAGGAGAACATTTTAATTAATATCACCGTTACATCACATCACCATGGTTCCATAGAAAAGGGACACCTTAGTGCCTCATAACTAGGAAGCCACAGTCCTAAATTGCCTGTCCTCACAGCCCCTCCCTTACTCTCCTTCCAGATAGAGGCTCGTGACACTCTGAGACCTGTGAGTCAACAAGCTCCATCTTGGGTCCTAGGGTCCACAGTTTCAAAGAATCATAAGGATAGATATATACCACTGAAGATGAGCAAAGACAGAAAAGACAGAGTTCTCTCTGCTCCCCATTTCTGCCACAAGAAAACACACATCAAATCCAGAGACAAGAGATCAAACAGCAGACATTCAGAGCAAGGGGGCATTACTGAAGTTTGTGTAGAAAACTGGCAACTTCAAGCTGGCATGTCAATAGACTGGGACATACACACTCTAAGCAGAGAGCCAAGGAGATGAAAAGAGCCTGAGATGAAAAGAGCCTGAGATGAAAAGACAGCAGATGTTGTGAAAAGACAAGAGAAGGACGAGTGGCAAAAGGATGCAATGAGTTGAAAATAACCTTGTTCCAATGAAGATTTTAAAAAGCAAATAATAGTTTCTCATCTAGGGCTACAGCTTCTTACTCACTTCTTCACTTGCGTGCTGGGATTTTTGTCTGGTCCACGCTTTCGTGGGTTTCGTCCCTGCTAACACCATTGCTGAGTTCATTTGAGTAACTGCCTAGCTGTTTGGAAAACTCTGTTTCCTGGTGGTCATCTACTCACTCACTTATGCACAAGTGACCTAATGGGCATAACCACCATACTCCGAAGATCCCCAGGGGCTCCATATGTGATGATTCTTGGAGTCCTGTCCCCTTCTGGCCAGGAAAGGTTTAGGCACATGAGTGAAATACAGAGTGAAAATGTGTTCGTGTAACTGATAAGAAAAATACCTACCAGAATCTAAGAGAGGGTGACAACCCAGAGCCAGGCAATACTCACCTGGACATCCTGGGCTGCAGTGACCAGACAGATGCTTCCAGCCCTTCTTTGCTTTGATATAACACAAATCCTGTGTGAAGCTTCATGGAGAGATGCAACATTTTAACCTGAATGGACTAATGTAAAGCCCATTTTCTTTTATTTCCAAGGAGAACATTTTAATTAATATCACCGTTACATCACATCACCATGGTTCCATAGAAAAGGGACACCTTAGTGCCTCATAACTAGGAAGCCACAGTCCTAAATTGCCTGTCCTCACAGCCCCTCCCTTACTCTCCTTCCAGATAGAGGCTCGTGACACTCTGAGACCTGTGAGTCAACAAGCTCCATCTTGGGTCCTAGGGTCCACAGTTTCAAAGAATCATAAGGATAGATATATACCACTGAAGATGAGCAAAGACAGAAAAGACAGAGTTCTCTCTGCTCCCCATTTCTGCCACAAGAAAACACACATCAAATCCAGAGACAAGAGATCAAACAGCAGACATTCAGAGCAAGGGGGCATTACTGAAGTTTGTGTAGAAAACTGGCAACTTCAAGCTGGCATGTCAATAGACTGGGACATACACACTCTAAGCAGAGAGCCAAGGAGATGAAAAGAGCCTGAGATGAAAAGAGCCTGAGATGAAAAGACAGCAGATGTTGTGAAAAGACAAGAGAAGGACGAGTGGCAAAAGGATGCAATGAGTTGAAAATAACCTTGTTCCAATGAAGATTTTAAAAAGCAAATAATAGTTTCTCATCTAGGGCTACAGCTTCTTACTCACTTCTTCACTTGCGTGCTGGGATTTTTGTCTGGTCCACGCTTTCGTGGGTTTCGTCCCTGCTAACACCATTGCTGAGTTCATTTGAGTAACTGCCTAGCTGTTTGGAAAACTCTGTTTCCTGGTGGTCATCTACCACCTCTGGCTCTTGCAATCTCTCTGCCCCCTCTTCTGCAATGGTTCCTGAGCCTTGGGTAGCAGAGATTTGATATAGGTGTCTGTTCAGAGATGAGTCTCTTATTCTCTACACATTGGCCAGCTGTAGGCTGATAGGAGAGGGAGAGTCAATTTTCTTTAATGGTGTGACACTGCATAAGTTAACCAGTCTCCAGTGGATGAATCCACACCTAAGGGCATTTGGAAACACAAATTTGACTCATTAGGCCTTGATAGATGATAGATGAAAGATAGATAGATGATAGATAGATAGATGATAGATAGATAGATAGATAGATTATAGATAATGATAGATAGATAGATGACAGATAGATAGATGATAGAGATAGATAGATAGATAGATAGATAGATAGATAGATAGATAGATAGATAGATAGATAGATAGATGATAGACAGACAAATAGATAGATAGATATAGTGATACAGTGATATATATGTGTATATATATATATATGAAATCTGGCAAGGGGTCTGAAGGGGAGGGTACAGATAGGAGAGGGGATCTAAATACAATAAAAATATATTGTATGGAATTCAAAACATTCAATTAAAATGAAAAAATTAATCCCTCGATCAAAAGACCATTGGCATGGCAGAGAACATGCATTGAATTACAGGAAGTAATTTCACTGATGGGGAAGGGGCTGCACAGAAGTCATGGGAGAATACATGAAACATGGATAAACACATATAATCCATAGGAGAAAATGTAGTAGAGAAAATACACTTCAAATAGGTCCCTCAAGAGAGAAACATGGGCAATTAGAACATTAGCCATAATCAAAATAATTATTTATTGAATCATGATTTAAGAGAAATTTCCATACCCAGGACCTGGTATGTGGAGTGAAAAATTCATTTTTGTGTGCAAAGACATCCAACGATAACTTCTGGATATACTAGAATAACACTGTGTAATGAACATTCAGAGGGAAGATGGAGCTACCCACCATCAGTTTTAGGCATCTGCACTAAGGCTTTTTAGTATTTATATTTTCAGGCGATAACTCCTTGAAAAGTTTCATCCACTCAGACGTGGCATGGTGGGATACTTAATAGCATTTGTCTAACTTCCACCTCTTGATAACTGAAAGTCAAGTGAGTTTGCTCTTAGAACTGAAGAGCCTGCAAATGACAATGAGGAGGCCATGGTGACAGTGCGGAGCTGAACGAGTATGAACGCGGGATCTACTGAAGGACGTTATCTAATGATTGCTTCACACTTCTAAGCCACAAGTTCATAGTATGGCTAACATTTGATGCCAAGGAGAGAGCGCCAAATTAATCACAGTGAATATTAAAAGGGCCAGTTTATATTTAAAAGGCCTAAAGTATGGGAATAGAATATAAGAAAATACTGATCAAATTCCATATATTATACACATGAGGGAGCAGAGCCAAAAGATCTATCCATGGACTGAAAAAAAGATTTGTTATTTGAAAAATGAAATCATAATATACAAATGTGAAATTTCATTAGAAAAAAAATTTTAGAGGACTCATAGTAATCCTCCTTTATTCTAGGATCTGGGAAATAGAAATAAATATGCCAGAAATTATAGTCAAACTAGGCTTGATTCAATTTAAAAGATGAATATTGCAAGCTGCATTGGAAATCAGTACCTACAATCTTCAAGAAAGAAAACTTACAGTGACCACCATATATCAAAACTGGAGCAATCCCAGCACATACATGGTTGAAGCAATAGAACTGAGTGTTTGAGGAGAGATTTAGGCCCTAGAGCTGGCAGGTGAGAGAAGGGCTGTCTCCATCAGCAGAGCTTTCCATCAGCAGATCTGTCTCCATCAGCAGATCTGTCCCCATCAGATCTGTCTCCTACACATCCTCCAGGTGGCAGCAAAGCATGGGAACAATGAGTTTGAGAAGAGGTGGGCAAGTCAGGTGGGCTTCTATCTCATTTTTCTTTGACTATAATAAAACCACATCAACAATCTTGTGGCTCATTAACTTGTGTGCTTTAAATTTGAAATGCCTCCTATGGGCTCATGTATTTAAACATTTGTCCCTCAAGTGGTGCTTTATCAGAGAAACTGAGGTTCCCTTTGGGGGATTCTTAGAATCATTCATTAAAAACTCAGAAGGAAGCTTGAGAACAAACTGTTTCTTCTGGGCATGGCATAGACATTG